AAAACGTCAAACTCGTGTGACGTGAAAGAGCCGAGACAGGTACTGCCTAACCCCGTATGACATAAAAAGGTCGGGTGTATCCAGGGCACAACCACTCTGTTCGATGGATTCCATTTATCCCCGTATTGACGTAAAAGGGTCAGGTGTATGGTCCATCGCTACATGACACTAAACTGCTTAGAGGGCTCTATGGTTACAATAGTTAAAACTGCTAACCAACCTTGTTTTTCGAAATATCTTTCTCCTTTCAAAATTTTTACTATATGTCTTGTGTTATTCAAAAACTTTAATTTCTTTGTTAAAATCGTAATCTTTCCTTATTGCGGGTTTTATTTCAAATGTCCCCCTACTTTCAAAAAATTTCTAAAAAGGTCTTTAAAAACGAAGGAGCTTGGACACCTGTATATAATAATTACAGTGTTGTTGCCTCATCTCTCACTTCGGATTTAGCCAAAGAGGTCTCTTCCAATAGAAAGCCTTTTTTTATAGACAGCTTTAGTAAACCCTAAGGAGATCAAAAAAAATGCCAGGGGTAAAAATTCAAACTACAAAAACCCCTGAAGTTAAGTGTCATGGCTAGAAAATCCAACTCAAGTTTCAAGCTTGTGTAACTCACCGACATCTCATGCCGAAAACCCTAGGAGGAAAAATGCCCTAGGTGGGTGAGCTCAGTGAGCGTAATGACTTGGAGGGATAGTTGGTATGCCCCCTAGCCACGTGACCTCAGGAAGAAATTTGAAATGTTTGCTTTATCTTTAACGTTGAAGGACTGGGAATTCCAAAATGTCTACTTCTTTACCACTCACTTGTCTCTTAAAGAATTGGGAGTGCTAAAGAGGGGCAATTGTAGACACCATATTTTAAATCTAGCAAATTTTATGGTTTTCTAAACCCTTAAGACCACATTATCCTAGTAGATCCAATTTAATTACCCCAAACTACCCAAATCCTATCTCAATTTGAACTAGAGCCCAAGAGCTTTCCAACGGTCTAAAAACCGCCTGAATCGGCCCTACGGATAAAATGATATAACAAATGATAATTTAGTCCTTATGAGACCTAATTGTCGGGCCACGAGCCAAGCGGTAACAGGCCCAACAGGCCCAGACGCGAGCTGATGATGCAGTCAACACATTTGATGATGCAGTAAACGTGTTTTCTTTAATTCGATAAGGCTAAAACTTCAAAATAAATCTTAAAAATTCTGAAAAAAACTCCAAAAAATTTAGAAAAAACCACTAATTAAATATTATACCCCATCTCCCTAATCCAAAAGGAGAGAGAAAAAGAGATCAGAAAAACCTTAGAAATTCTCAAAATTAAGAAAATTATCCAAAAATACCAAAAATAGGAAAAACTCTTAGAAAATTCTTAAAAATTTAAAACAAATCCCAAAAATTAGAGAAAATCTCAGAATTCATATTCAACCTCTGGAGATCACAAAAACCTTAGAAAACTAAGGAAATTCTCCTCCATACCCCGAGAAAGACTGACAGCTTTAGAAAAATCTCTAGATTGAAAACCCTAGAGAATATAGAAATCCTAGCTTCCTAAAGTTCTAACACCCAAGACTGAGAAAACCTAGGCCTAGGGTACAAAAACCCTAGATCAAAACTAGAAATAGGGAACAACCCTAAATCTAACCCTTTACACCAGAGATCTACTGGTCAACATCCGAATCAGAGAGGCAAAGAGGACCGGTTCTGATACGGGCGACCCTCAGAAGGCTCGAGAATCCTGGGCGATCCGGCCCGGTTTGGTATTATTTCTTCCTTTCTCTTTCTACTTCATTTTATTGATTTGCATCTTTTATTTTATATGTTAACTTGTCCTAAAAATCCTATTTTAATGCTCTGGATCATGCTGGCTCTGCCACAAATCTGAGAGTAGATCTGCTCGTTTTCGGGCAAATCTGGCCTCAAATCTGAATTCAACCTATCGCACTTTCTCTACCACTTTATTTACATCTTTTTAATTAGTTTAAGATATTCAAAATCTAGAGATCTTCATCGAAAGATCTATCTTATTTTCATCGTAAACATGTGGATGATGGTTGATGTGGATGTTTGGGATGACAATGTGATATTTTTTCTTAGAGTACTTTTTTTAATAATCCTCTTATGAATTTGAATGCAGGTTAAACTGTCAATATGGATCCATCTGATCTATATGTATAGATATATATGTCACATATTATGTTTAATATGTAGCCACCTTATATTGTGTCTGATACTGTTATACATTCTAGATACTAAGGAAGCTTGTTCACATTTATTATTTCATCAGTGTTGCATTTGTTTCATATTTACTAGAGGCCCATCAGAACAATTGTTCAATTTGTTGCGTATGGATACATATGTCTTTTCATGATTGTGTGGAATTTTAAAAGATGGCAGGCTACTTCATAACTCACAATACATGATGGTAGAGTAATTAGTTGGCATATTCCTAAATAAATTTACACATAATGAGCGTAATGGGGTGATGCAAATTCAATTTCAGCATTCTTGGAAGACTATAAGCTATTACTTCAACAAAGTCCTAAATATAATATTGTGACTGGCCCTGTATGGTGAACATTGCGTAGATCATCTAATATTTAAAAAATACGATGGTAATGTTTATAATTGCTTATTAGGGAATATCTTGTTAGTATTATGTTAGAGCATTTGATGGGACCCACATTCCTAATTGGGTTCCCACTTTTTTGTAAAGACAATAATTGGAAGGGAGAGTTATCTCATAATGTTTTGTTTGTAGTTAACTTTAACATGTGCTTCACATATATACTAGAAGGTTGGGAAGGTTCTGCAGCAGACGCTAGAATTTTGTATAATGCAATGGAGAGGGATAGACATTCATTAACAATGCCTCAAGGTAAAACTGTTTGGTTATTATTCATAACTAGTTGTGAATGATAGATACTGATATATTGTCCATATTTGGTGTATAAAAGTATTATCTTAGAGATGCAGATTACCCTACTACACATAGATTCATTAGCTTATGTCATGGTGCATATATGATGCAATTGAGAGGGACAAGCATCCATTAACAGTGCCTCAAGGCAATACTATTTTGAGTTATTATTCATTATAAGTTTTGAATAATAGTCGTTGATATATTGTCTATATTTGGTGTAGGAAAGTATGACCTTATGGATGTAGGTTACCCTACTATACATGGATTCATTAGCCTACATCATGGTTTTAGGTACCACCTTAGTAAGACTTATGAGAAAGAGAAATCTAAGGACACTAAAAGAGTTATTTAATCATTGGCCTTTTTCTTTAAGAAATGTCGTGGAATGCACCCTTGAAATTTGAATAACAATGTTTCCCATCTTAAGATCCTAAGTTCAATACTCAATTACAACATCGGTCAAGATTGTAAATACTACTTGTATTTTGCTCTACATCTTATTGAGGATAGCACATAACTCTGTTGGTGGAATATCTTTTCTTCATTAAGTTCTTAGACAATTGAGAAGATATATCTAGATACGTGCAAGAGAGGAAGAAAAAAATGATGATGAAAGGGAGAAAGTTGAGTAACTAAATTTCCAAAGTAGGGCTGCGCATAATATTAGGATACAACTAATTGACTAAACTACAACGCAAAGGTGGGTTGCATACGGAAAATGTCGCAATCATTACTATGTATTTGTTGGTGTGATATAAAGTTTTTTTCACTTTTCATCGATATTTCAAAAGCCCTTCTCTAGTGCACTCGTGTGGCTAGAAAGTTGTTTTTTTAAAAAAAAGTCAACAACAATGATTACTTTTAAAAAAAATTAGACACAAAAGGATACGATATCTATGCGGTAAGCTTAATAATAAATATATTTTTAAAATATAATTAGATCTTAATTTTTAGATAATATATAATCTTTAAAATAGAGATCATGAATATGAATTTTTTTTAAAAAAAATAAAATAATAATTATATTAAAAAAACATTTAGGCAGTTAAAGTCACAATTGTTTTTCGATAGACCGCCCATTTACATCCATCTTTTTTTGAAAATGTGGCTTATCATGCTTTTTTTCTAAAAATTCATTTCTTCAATAATAGTATAAAAATTATATTGAAGTAGATCTAAAATATAATGTAATTAACATGGGACAATACCATATACATGGATCTATTTTTTAACTTTAATAAGATATATCAGTGGAAAAAAAAACCCAATATCATTATACAAAAAACCCAATAATATGTTTGGATTTTTTGCATATTGTAAAAATACTTGGATAACATCCTATTATATAAATCATTAATAGATTAATGATAAATTTAACTCATTACATAAAATTAATAGTTTGATGACAACGTATTAATCTTAATTAACTGTACTTAAGAGAATTAAAGCAGAAATTACGCTTAAATATCAACTCCTATAAGCTATAAATATAAGAGTTACAAAATAAATATGTTTTTTATAAAAAAGATAATAACTTCTCTAAAACAAATAAAAAAAATAAAAAAAAATTAAAAATAAAAAGTGAACGAAATTCACTAAAAAAACGTTTAAAATAACTCATCGGATGATTTTATCTATAGATTTTGATATAAAATTTTAAATCTTACATAGTAATTTAAGAACATATCCAAATAAATTTATTAAACTGGAGAAAATTATTAACCACGAAATGCCATGCTTTAGTAAAACTTAAAAACTACAATGACATTATCATCCGTCAACCGTACGAACGTCCCCATACATTCCAAACCACCTTCACCACAAATAAATACGATGAGACTCTTCGTAGTTTTGCTCTTTGCCAAAAAAAGGAGTCCTTGATTTTGCTTTTCTAAGGTGGTGTTAACAGGGGTTTTTCATTCTTCTACCCTTTCCATATTGTTTATTTCACTCTTTACTTAATTTGTTTTACTTTTCATTATATATTTAAATTCGTGGTCCAAGGACTTCGATCGTTAGAAGTTTGTTACCAATTGGACCAAGAATCCCGAATGGTTTGCACGAGAAACAGAACCAGCCCATAACTGCGTTTTTCCCTAGATTAGTAACAAATAAGACAAGCATATTTACATGAAATTTCCCTCCTGAACAAAGCAGCTAAAATAAAAAAATCACTCGATACTTGTACATATTTTATTTACAGTTTGGAATTTCTTCCATGGCACACAAGTTTCTTCACTTTACTTTGGGGTTCAAAATAAACTCCATCCCACACCCCAAACACCAGAACTTTGTTCGAGGGCCAGGATCATCTTCCAAGGCAAAGGGCCGCCTTCAGATCTAGTTTCCAAGCGTAATAATAAATTGCAGCAGGCTCACTACACACCCTCCAAACATCACATGGGACCATAAGCGTGTTGCTGCTCCACTGTATCTTGGCCCTGCATGAGAAGGATGAAGAACTCAGTGGCAGCTTCTCTCTCGTCCACAATACCACCATCTCACCTCTACCGCCCCCACCGCACCACTCCGGTGGCCGACCAACCAGCTGGAGGTAGGCCTGGTTCGTCCAGACCACCCGATTAGATGAGTCTGATACGAGGATGGGTGATTCATCCCATTCGAGCAATTTCTGCATTTCTTCTGCACTTGGCGCCAAACTGTTCATGCTGAACTCACTGCCATTGCAGACTAAGATGCATTCGTTGGTGATGCATTCCAGGGTCACAGACGACCCCACACGCCGCATTGGCTGCGGCACCACCACCCCCATTCGAGAGCAGGAGCCTAACTCCTCCTCCAGTTCCTCTTGTTGCTGACTTTTTGCTTTCGGAGCTGGATCCACTGAGTACAAACCACGGGGCTCACACGTCATAGTTTGATGTGGCACCTCCTTCCTCTCGAGCGTCCTCTCTGGCATGAGAGGCAGCGTAATAAGTGAGCAGCTCTCCTTCTCCGATGATGCCGACCCCGATACTGACACCGATGCTGCTCTAAGAGAGGTTGAAATCCCTTCTTCAGGCATTGCAGTAGCAGTTGGAGGCTTTCGTGCCCTCTTTCGGGACCGTTTGATCTCACTGCACCTCCTCTTGGCTCTGCCTCCTCTTCCACCAACAGCAGCGGGGTTCTGCTTCACCTCAGCCCCACTGCCAACAGCCGTCAAGGACGAGGAGGAGGCACTCTGGGCTGCTGGCTTCGGAGCGATAGGCCGGTACCTCAACATGATCTGCTCCGCTTTCGACACCATGTAAGGGGAAGAAATCACGCCACCACCGCTGTAGACATACCTGGAGGCTATACAACACCCCCCTAATTCCGACCTGTTCCTCATCATCACACTCCTCAGCAGAAAAACCACAAAAAAAAAAAAAAAGGCTCGTCCTTCAACTAAGAAAAACCCTCAAATCACTCATTTATATAGTAGTGAGAATTCAAAAAGATATTATGGTGGGTACATACGAAAGAAGAAATTACCGCTTAAGGAAAGGAAAGGGGTTATTATAAGAAGAGAGTCAGTCAGGTAGGTGGGGAGCGGAGGGTTTGAGATGAGGAGGAGCACCGTGGCGGAAGTGGAGTATTTATTCGTAAGGTTGGCGTGGCACGTGGAGGGTCGCACCTCAACCTGGCGGGCATTAACGCCATCCCGTAGGTAAAATAGCGGAGCCTCGGTCCCGCCAACTGTTACGATGAACAGGTGTAGATGTGACTTGACGCTACCTGATTGGGCGAGAAACCACGTGTTCGAAGGGGAGATGCCGGCCGTTGGCCCACGTGAAGCCGGTAGGATTGTATTTACTTCCATTCTATTGGTGGAAAACTTAGCCAATGGGGGGTGATAGAGTGTCCTTGTGTTGGCTTGGGGGCGACACGTATGGGACCTCTAGGGTTGGAAAAGCTCGCGTACTATCTCGAATCTGGGACACGTGGACCAATGGAGAGAGGATAGAAACAAAGGCCCCCGCTCCATTCTATTATTAGTAAGTGGAGATGCCGCCACGTCGACGGAGATCAGTCCCGAGAATCCTTGGGTCGGACGGCGGTGATGGTGACGTCGCTCCCCTCTCATGTTGTTCATTGAATTTGATGCCCTCTCTTTTTCTCTCCTCCCATTTTGAAGTCTGACTTGAGTTGGCTCTGAACCTGAAATAAAAAGCTTCATTCGTGCTGCGCCGATTCGTAAAATCCCCATGCCGCCCTTTCGCTTTGTCGCTTTTGCCGTGCGACTCTTTTTCTTTTCTCATGGTTACTTCGTAACGCGGCACCCTCGGTCATTTTGGTTATTTGAGTGTTTCAAAGTGACTAAAACTCTGCTCATAGCTGTTGAAGGTGGAATCGGGGGGCCTCAGGAGTCGGATTTGAGCACCAGACTATTTTAGGGTGGAAGTTCTCTCGGTTAGAATCGGCGACTGTACATTTAACAAGTTAAAAAGTAATAACTTAAGATAGATACAAGGGAGATCCTTTCTCCCTATGTTAGTCAAATTGATGTTTTGACTTGGAAAGAAATGAGCTCTATTATATATAAAATGAGATCAATTAATTACACCTTAGGTTATTTACAATGTCGTAGGTATAGCTCAAGTTTATTACAATAACAGAGGTTAATAATATCATAAATTGCTTTATTATGATACTAAATATAGTTTTTTAATACAAGAATTATGTTATACTGTGATGAGATATGCATCATAGATTAACATATTCTAAAGAAATAAATCTATAATACCAATAGGAGGGTTAGTAATCAGTTAATAATGTAGCTTCTATCCATAGAGGGATCCCACAAGCATATAGTTCGAGATCCTATTTTATACGAAATGAGATTTTTATTTCTCTAAATCGAGCTCGGTCTAAGATCCCTTAAAGGAACTGCATGATCTAGCTCCTAAAGTAGGACCATAGTCTTACCTTGAAGGTTCCTGCAATTATGGGTATGACCCTGCTTTTGGTCATAAAAATGTACTAATTAGTATTGATAATCATAAACACAAGATAATTATCAAATGTATTTTAAAAGTTGAATCGCCTTATAGTTTAAATGTGAGTTTGAAAAACTTTAAAACCCAATGTTATTTGATGGGCAATTCGAAGTTTAATAAAGGCAAATCATAGCCCATTTTAAATTAGATCAAAAAAGAAATATAGTGAGATATTCAATGCTTCAAATCTAAGTTTCATCTCATATATTCTTCAAAACAGTTCAACTATACGGTGCAATCTAATAAATTCTTCAAGAATGAAAAAGGTGAGACAGTGTTGGTGTCATGACCCCACCCCCTACCGTCCTACCGTATTTGTCGGAGGGCAACAAGCTGCAGGACCACGACCAAAGGTAGCGAATGTCACTCAGGTGGGAGTACGCTCAATCACAAACTAGAATTGGACAACCAAGTTCCAAACTG